GGCACAGCCAAGATGCTGGAGGAGAACCCTCAAGCTCCCAGGCCGCTGGCCACCACATTTGCTGCTGTGGTGATACCTAGACAAAGTCATGATTTCCAGCTAATCAGTTTTGTGAATCTGCCAGATTTTTTTCCTGTCAGCAATTTTGCTGTTCAAGCTCAGTTATGACAAAGTAGCAAGTAAACAAATCAAAACATTCAGTTCTAATGTGTACTAAAGCAAAAGATTCCAGACATCATCAGGCTCACACAGTCTCAGACATGAGACCTAGACCCTATTTAATACCTGGGGTTGAGCAAAAGAGAGCCGGATGTTCACAAATGATTGTACAAAGAAAACTTCCTTGTCGAAGTATGTTCCAAGTTTATGAAATGGTATGAAAGACTGAGTGCTGTCTTATTCACAAAAGAAGGATGCAAAATGTATTAACAGCAGGAGTACCAACAAATGTTGTACAGTTTATTGTCTATAAAAAAATCAATTCACTGAATAAATGTATGTACATTATAGATTGGATTTTCAATATTTTCTTTTTACAAGATTAGACTTCTGTAATAAAATAATTTATTTTAAGGCTTTTACCTCTTTACCAAACAGAACTGAATAAAATAAGTTCTGCATTCATTTTGTGATATTCAGTTATAAATGTAAACATCTCTGCTTGTTGGGCTCTATGTCATCTTAAAAATTAAAAAAGTTATTTTTTTATGATGATACAATTATGAGTTAAATATTATTTTAACAACGTTGCACAGCTCTGTCCTTTAGACGGTGCTTTATCTATTTTCACATATTTCCATATTATTTGGACGGAAGAATTAATTTAGATTATATTTAGATAATATTTGAACAGAGATACTTCACATCCTGCTTTAGGGCTAGTAAATGATTTCAGACAGAAAGAAAGAGCTCAATGAATGGGAAAAATCACCATTATTAACTCCAACAATGAAAAAATAATCATCAATGTTCATTTAAAGTATCACTTGTTAGTGTTGGGCAAGGTAAACTAAAGAGAGGAAATTTTGGGCAGGTAGAGGACGGCATAAACAGCTTGGTATCGAAATAAATCTTGTCCTGTCAAAGCGCCTGAAAGTGGCCACCTGTTTACAACATCGTGGGCTCCACTACCTCAGGGGTAAAGTCTGGATTTCCAGTGGTGAGGCTTGACACAATCCAGATGTAACCGGCTCCTATTAGACCCAACGACCGAGCTTCCTCCAGGATATATCTGTCAGGGAGAGCAGACAGATTCACAGCTGAAATCTGGCAGCATATGACAAAGAAATACAAATACCACGGCAGAAAATGAAAGACACCAACACTCACACTGCCTCATCCTTGGAGCAGTACAGCAGTATAACAGGGCTCTGTATCCTCTTGAGGGCAATGTGTGATTTTGAGTTGGGGTCACCATCTACAGCATCTAGTGTCACAACACTCTGCAGGTCCCAGCGCACAAAGCTGTAACAATACACCATGAAATAATACAGGTGCTTAATCTGGGTAGCAACCATGAAGAAATATTAACAATCAGATATCACACAGCGCATTTCTGAAAAAAAGTGTTGGTATTTCTGGCTGCAGAATCCAATTAACTCTTCAACTTGTGTTGGACAGTTAGTGCTCTGGGTTTCTTTGAAAACAATAATAAATATGATACAGAGATAAATGAAAATGATCACAATACTACTTTCAAACTTTTTCCTACTTTTCTATTTAAGCTAGCACATGAAAAACATGTGTTATGTAAACTAAACTAAATACTTAGAGATATGAAAGGATTGAGTGGAACATGAAGTCTTTCAATGTCTTTCAAAATCTCAATATCACACAGATTAATTAAACACATTCATTTAAAAAGTATTTCATTTATTTTTTGATGATTGTAATTTATAACTAATATAATCAAAATTAGATTAATCAGAAAATAAAAAATATTGCATAGAAATTAATAAAAATAAGGATGTTTAATACAGAAAATAGAACACACTGAAACATATTTAAAGCTTGGATTCTTAGCCTCTCTATTCTGCCTCCAAAATATAGGAAATTAAAAATACAGGCAAAATTTAGTTCCAGCTAAAAAGAGGATGTTGGACCATTGTTTCCAGTCTTTTTTGTCTCAGGGTCCTGGCCCTATGCCTCTACAGTCTTAACACAAGTCCTGCAGCAGTTCTAGTTCATGACCTGGACGTGTGGCTTTTCAGTCTCCTCCAGACTGTGACCTCAAGGTCACAGTCTGGACCTTGAGGTCCAGACTGTGACCAATCCTATTTATTTGGTTTAATTTCAGCCACACTTTTCCCTTTCACTTAAAACTAGAGTATGTAACTTTTATTAAAAAATATATAGATATATTTTTTACATATTTGCTGAAATTGTCACTCTGTTGTGACAGTACGGTATAAAAAAATATCGAGCTCCTCTGCTTTCTTCAAGCGCTAATTACAAACAATGGTCAAAAACATGGTCAATGATAGTCAATCACAATCTCGTGTGGTGCTCCTCATCCTCCCATCCCTCTTCCTCTCTGCTACACTGCAGCTTCTTTCTTGTTACAGATCCTGTTGTTAGCATGGCTACTGATGGCGGCGGATTTTCTTGTAACAGTAAGTTGTTTCTCCACCATTACTACACTGAGCAGTGAGTATATGAGGATGATTGACAGCACTAAGACCCTCCTCCTGTCTCTGATTAGTTGTTTTTTGGTGTATTTGATTTATTTCAGCAATAGTAGCTCAGGAGTCTCTCCAGACTGAAGAAGGAGGAGAATATTGATCTTTTCACAATATAGAGGCCGTTTTAACAAACATGTAAAAAATATTTTTAGCAAAAGTTATATACAGAGCTTTACCTTTCAAATAAAATGAAGATGCAGTACTCTGAAAGCAGCCAACTTCTTTAAAAAGGATTTCTTGTGGCTTACCTTCCTTGTGGCGGGTGTGAGTGACTGTTTCTTTTATTTTTCCAGTTGAAAAAATAAAAGAAATCCATTTTTTGATGATATTCTAAAATAAGTTATATTGTAATATATTGTGTAGGGTTGGATTTTCTGACATCTTCTGTGATGAATTATAAAGAAAACCCCAATCAAAAGCTTGTCAAAAACCTCATCTATATTTCTTTCTGGGTGAAAACAAATATGTGGAACAGCACTTATGAGCATCCCAACAACACAGGATTTTCAGAGTGTGTGAGAGGGCTTCGGGGTGTATTTGTACCTGTGATCCACAGTCACTTTCAGAGTGCTGATGAAGTCCTGATAGCCGGGGAACTTGGATGTTACTATAGAAAAAACATGCCAGTCATACTCCTCCATGATTGCAAGCATGAGAAGAGCCTCCTGCTGCAATGCTGCGCCAAACTGGAAGAAAGTGGACTTCTCATCCTGAAAAGACACAGCGGAGAAGTCAAAAATCAGATTTTTCTTTGCAATCAGGCAGACTATGAGAAGAGCTGAGGAGGGAGAAGGAATAAGAGGAGGGAGAAATGGGAAAGAAGGATAAAGATACAGAAAGAGCAAGAGATTCAGGCGACAAATGAGACAGCACTGCAAGAGAGTGACTGTTGGCAACAAGAGGGACCGTAATGGTCGGTGATAACAGCCTCATAACTCACAGGCTTAATACACTTCAGCACTCAGCAGACTTAACAAACAGCCACAGATTATCTTGAAAAGTAATTGATCCTAAGACTAATGTCATGTCAACTGACGCGTTATGTGGTGCTATTCTGCTAACTCGAATAAGAAAAAAAGGTACTAAAATTATCATGACTGTGGCATAAAATTGTGAACAATATGAATTTAGTTAATATATCCCTTGTTAAAGAACATCCTCTTTTAAACTGTTCAAAATTTCACAGCATTAATTCACAATGCCCTCCTCGATTAAATCATTTTGTCTCAGCAATGAGGGAAAAGTGAAGACGAGTGTGAAAGGAAGAGGCAGCAGTGAGGACCACCAAAACCAAAGCACCTATTAAAATGGATAAACCTGAAGTGAGTGTGAAATAAGTTGCTAATGATTGCAGGAAGTGTGTTAAGTGTCATCTGAGCCTCCCCAAGACACAACAAAAAGCACTACAGTCTGACAAAGACGAAGACCAGTGAGGAGAGAGGGAGAAGCAGAGCGAGCGGAGGGGTAGAATGGGAATGAAAATAACAGTTCCATCTATTAGACTAAGGCTAGCATATATGCTGCAGGGAGAAAAGGAGCCTTTGAAAAAAAAATAAACACACTTAAAATACAGTGTGCTTTGCAAAGTTCTTATGTTTTTGCTTTTTATTACAACAAAATGTTTTAGATCATCAGATCCATTTTAAAATTAGGGAAAGACAATCTAAGAGTAAATATAAAAATTGTTAATTTCATTAGGGAAGAAGTCACTGAAAACTCCAAACAGTATTATAGTTTAGTCATGGACCACAGACATGCCATCTGCTATCAGAGAACTGGTTGGAGGAGTATAATTATGAGTTTTAATCACAAGCAGCACCAGGAACACGTGTTAAGTTTTGAACGGAATGGCCGTGATTTATCAGCGCTGCTAGCAGCTCGTCTCTCTGAAGCAATAAGGAGGAGAGATACGGTGAAGCTCTGCTCAGCGTTCTGTCTGAGGTTTGCACTGACAGTGTGAAACACCGGGAATACATAGTATGTACATTTTAATTGTTGTTGTTGTTGTTATTATTATTATTATTATTATTATTATTATTATTATTATTATTATTATTATTATTATTATTATTATTATTATTATATTTTTTTTTCATAAAGTTCATTTGTGCCTTTTGGTTTATATCTTTTGATTGCAATACCTAAATCCAAAAAGCTGTACATTTAAAGCAATGAAGTGCAAGTATGTAATTATATTTACAGCTAAATAATCAGCTGATCTTAGTTTTTATCTTTATGTTTGGGGCAGCAAAAAAAAATCTACGATACAAAATGAGTGTAGTGTTCTTAGTTTGTGTGTAAAGTCTTTGTTGGATTTTTTTCTCTCTTCTTCCTAAAGCCATAGATTTTTGATACTGTTAATTTATTTCAGATCATCAGACCAATACAGTCTACCACTAAATTGGAAAATTTGAATTTGCTAAACTGGAAAACATCATTACTGTGTGACAGCAAGCATGATCTCATTGCACTTTGGGTTGATTTTACTGGCATTTGCAGCGCACCAGAGTTTGCTTTAACCAGAGACCTATGATGCAGAAACTTAAGTTTCCATTCTGCAACATTTTCTTCAAATTCATTCTGATTTAAATTGACAACCTTGATTTTGAAGCCTTGTCCTTCTTTTCTCTTAATAGTAAAATAAGCCACAAACATATAAAAAACATTTAAACAAAAAACAGACCAACAAAACACATTTAAATGATATAAAAAAAATAAGGATGCTTATTGGATGAATAAACAGCTATTTCTTTAGTTCATCTACTTTTTCCCACTAAAAGCTTTATTACTGATTCATTTTGGCCCATAATTTGTCCATCAGTTAAACAAGGGAAACGCCTGCAATCTATTTACAAAGTGTGGTATTTGTAATTTGTAAAATGTTTCCGTGAATCCACAGGATGCAGCCAAAGGAGCTCTCAAAGAAAATGAAACTTTTCATCCAGAACTGAAAAAAAAAAACTAAACAAATCCATCAGAGAGATAGGGAAAACATTAGCTGTGGGCAAAACAACCGCCAGCTTCGTTCTGAGGAAATGTACTAATAAGTGTGTGCAGGAATGGCTGCTTGTCTTGCTTGCCAGATTTGGCACTGTGATGAGCCGGTGACATGTCAGACCCAACATAAGATCAAGAACATGATTGAACTGGTAAAGAGAACAGATAGGGAGAAGATTGTTTTTGGATTTGATGTATGTGTATGGCTACTTCAAGAGAATGCAAACTTCACACATAAACAACAACAAAAACTCTTAACAGGGTTTCCAGACACCAACTTCAAGCTGTGAGAGACCAGCCTTTATTTGCATATTTAAATAAGCTCATGCTCAGTAGGTGGAAGTGCAAAAACAATACACTGACAAAAAACTTAACTTGAGGCCCTGCATAAAGATTCTTTTCCTCACAGAACTGTAGAGGTGCAACATACAACCATGAAATAAATGCATAGACCTGTAAAAACACTAAGGTGCCATATGTGCAGCAAAATGAAAAACAATCTCATAGTCAGAATTTAATGATTCAGATGGATTTAAAAAAATGTGTAAACCAAATCCATATCACAGGCAGCACATCTGACTCCCCTTCAAATCAAAATTAATAATTTAAATTGGCTGGTTTCTCGGCACTGACCAGGATTTTAACAATAGTCCATATTTCTTTCAATAAGGTTGATTTCCAGGATATTCCGCAAGATTGTTTCCCAGCATTGTTCATCTTTTGTTCAAAACTCGGAAACTGTTGGGTGTTCAAACAGGACAATCAGCCAAAGAAATTTATCAAATCTTATTTAATGGTCCTTTCAATCAACTTGATTAAAAGCCAGTGGAAATCAACAAATTTAAAGTGACTCCATAAATTCTGGAAGAGTGGTCAAATATCAAGCTACATTTATTCACAAACTTGTTAATGGCTACAGTAAGCATGTGGTGGACAGACATCTCATTAAATATTAGTAGTGGTTAATAATTTAAGCTGTATGTTGTATAATCACTCAGTCCTGGGGAAAAAAAAACATGATTTAAAATCAGTAAATTCATATATATTTATTCCCGTGATAACTGCAGGTAAAATTCTTACTGCAGTATTTCAATATTGTGTCTCACACATTTAAATTTAAAATACAATCCTGAGAATCAGTGGGCTAAGAGTACATGAAGAATTTCTAATGAAGAAATGAAAAAAAGTGGAAAAAAAGAGTGAAAAACAATCCTGCTGGTGAAGATGTTAACTGATCAAGGACAAAAAAGAGAAGATGACACAGACCAGTGTCTTCTCTTCTAATCAGACATGTCTACAAAGAAGCTCAGATGTTTGAATATTTCAGAAATTCAAGGCACATACTCAAAAATGTAGAATGGATCCCCACCTATTTGCAGTTCATAATTTGCATATTTTTATGTAAAATGTGACTCCAAGTCAAGTAATGTGCAGAAAATGTACCTATTCATGGATTTTTTCATAGAACAAATCTAATAATTTCAGAAGAAATTGCAGCTTGGAAAGCTGAAATACCTGGTCACAATTCTACTTTACACGGAATTGGCTGGCATTTGCAAAACATCCAATCCAGGAGCCGTATTTATTTTCCTTGCTGCTGATTGCCTGTACTTCCAATACAGAAAATAAGACTGTAGATATTAGCTTCTGCAGTCATCATAAGACTGTTTCTACTGTGTGCATTAATGTGTATATTAGGTGTGTGAACTCTTAAAGTAGGCAGCATTTTTAGCATTTTTTTCAAGTATTCACCAATTTTATCTATTCATGAGTAGCTGTGGTCCCATAACCCCCACAAACACCTGGAGTCCAACGTATTTCCTCCTTCCAAACCACATACCTAGAGATTTACTGATGAGTCTGTGCATTAATTATACAAATACAATAAACCTATGTACAGTTTTGCAATCCTCAGGTTGCACAAACACAGCACATGCACAAACACAAAGGGCCCTAAAATATAGCTTCTCTCATGAGCCAGCAAACCTCTGAATAATTCATCAGCCAAACCACAACAGTATCTCACTTGTTCTCTTTCTGCCCCACCCCCTCCACCCCTCACTCCTCATACACACAGTTTTTCATTTCAAATTTCATTTTTGTTTGCAGCAATCAGATTCTAAAAATATTAAAGTATGGTGAAAGATCTACAGGATAATCAGGGACTACTTACACATGTTTGAGCGCCGGCGCAACAAAGAGTCACAAGACAATAGGAAGTAGAGCCTTTATGTGGTGACAGTAGATGAGGCAGGACCATCAGCTGATATGGTGAAATGACTGATGGATGGGACAAGGAGTAAATGACTTACAGAAGAGGTACAAAGAGGGGCTTGCATGCACATGATTAGACTAGCATGGGATGTGGAGGATGATGATGGTGATGAGGACAGCAATGTGCTATATTAATATTTAATGGGGTCGGTCAGATAGGATGGAGTAGTTACATTAAGTGGGTCTGACACCGTATGGCCCCAAGTTGATGCTGAGTACCATTCCACTTAGGATTGCACAAAGTAAAGACAAACTTGCATGGTAAGTTCTGCGTCAACAAAATAGTGCCAACAGCTGATTCCAGGTTCACTTTCAGTGAACTGCATGGTATGTCAGAGGTGTGTATTTAGTGGTTCTCATTATCCTCAACCCAAAATGATAAAATGACCAATGGCAAGAGTTAGAGACTAGTTTTGGGAGTTCTCCTGTTCAGACATCTAAATCCGCTCAATAAACTTAGAATTTTATTGAAAAGTCCATTTATTTCAGGAACTGTGTCACTAAGTCAAACACATTATATAGGTGAATTACACACAGATGGATGATTGAAAACCTTTATTTCTGTTAATTATGATGATTTTTCACTTACAGTTAATTAAATGTTATTTAAAATTTGAACATTAATCACGAAATTTCACAAAGTATTTGAATTTGAAAGTTCCCTAATTTTCAGCTTTATCAACAGTATATCAGATTCCAGTCAGGACTCTAAAAAGTCTGCAGTGTACCATTAATTTTACCAACTGACATGATAGCTTGTTGCACACATTTGTTTTAGGCAGCACTACATTCAAAAAACCTAAACAAAATATGAAGACAATTACCCCTGAAAACTTAAGTGATCCAAAACTAAATTGTTCATACATACATTGTATGTATGTGACATACATTGTATGTATGTCACACTGCGACATACATTGGTTTAGTTTTAAAAGAATCAAAGCATGAGATTATAAAAACAGTTAATAAAAACATGACCATAAAAAGAAATTGAAATTAACAATTCTTTTTTCATGGTCTTTTAGCAGTACTTTTAGTTCACCAAGTGTCATTTGTTCTGCCAATTTATATTTTTGCTGAAGTATGTACAGACATGGGGACTTTTCACAAAAAAGTTGACACAGCTAAGATTCATTCAACCTAGTTTTTCTCCTGAATAGTATGCAATCTTTAAGCACATTTGGGAAAAAGGACTATACTTTAGTCATGTCTCATCCAAGCAAAACGAATATTAATTGGCTGAAATATAAGCATAAAATAATAAAATCCATCCTGAACTCTGGGATGCAGCTGTCTCATTAACAATGAAGGGGGAGAAAGGTGAAAATCTCTACTGGGCTTTTTTAAATTAACATTTAAGAAATAATCCAGACTCTCCTTTTGAAATATTAAAAATACATAGTGTCTAACAGAGAATATGCTCATGTGGAGTTTTTAAGGGTTTTTATAGACTACTCCATTACAGTAACCATTAAACAAGCACTGATGTTGCAATGTTCTGGCTGGTACAGTGAGGCCATTGCCTGATTGGAGTGTAGCCCTTGGTAAATTATGTTTATTCTTCAAATGTCAACATGCCTGTTGTTAATAGAAGCTGCTGCAGGATGCAAAACAGAAACTGAAAGACAAACTGAATAAAGTAGATGATCACAACTAATTTCACTATCGTTTCATAGTGTTACAAAAAGCAAAAAAAAAAAAAAAAAAAAAAAAAAAAAAAAAAAATAATTTTAAAATTTTAATAAATAA